TAAAGTTATATTTTCACCTTTTTTTTTTTTAAATTCTATTTCTCAATCAAAGGTTATCTTGGAATTACACAAGAATGAAAATGCCATTTCCTCCTATTTCCTCCTCCTAAATTCAAGTTAAAATAAAAAAAAAGTGAGGAGAGATGACGATGGTTCACCGGCCGGCCGATTGGTTAGAGCTAGGCCCTACGTACGAGCTCGTGGACCCACTTGCAGCTTTTTCTGGTGTTACGAAATTCATTTCAATTTCAATTTTTTAACTTCCAAACTTTCATCCTCAGATACTTCATTTTTGTACAATTTGATTTCACCTTAATATATTTTTGTGAATTTTGATTTTTCATTAACAAAACAAAAAAATAAAATTGATATAAGCTAGGGGAAAAATTGTTCGGTTTGTACCGATTTTGAACTATTTTGAAATCAAATCATTTTAAACAGTTTTTACAAATTCCGCTCATTTTCCCAACCAAAGTATATTTTCCGACTTGATTTGGTTTTAGCGATATAAAATAAATTATTTCAAACAAGTGAAAATAAATATATTGATTTGGAATTTCAGTATAATACTTAATGAAAACATTCTTAACATAAAAATAGCAATATTACTAATATATTTGTCTCAATACAAGTTTAAACTAATGCGAGTTCAACCATAAAGCTTAGGCTTGCAATTTCATCTTTAGATAAGAAAAATGTTGTCATAAATAAATTTTTTCTTTTTTAAAGAGCCAACAGAAACCCTTTTTTTTGCGTGTGTGAGCCTTTATGTTTCTGGGGTGATTCGTTGCTTATCTACGCTTATCAGGGTGGAAACAAAAAGCATAAGAGGCTTGAAAATGAGATGCTAAAAATATTATACTTGAAACTGTAATTATAGAAGTTGAATCTGGTCTAGAGATTTAAGTTACCAGAGAGAAAATTAATTTCTTCATTTGAACTTAGTTTTCAAGGGTGACACATACAATTTCATTCAATTTATTTAAATGGAAACTTGAGTTCATGACATTTTGTATACGTCGATATTATATTGTACCATTTTATTTAAAAATTTATTTGTATAAAGTTTATCTTCAAATATATAAATAGAAGGGAATAAAAATTTTAACCTAGACTAGAATTGGTTTGCAAGGAATGAACCACCACAAGGCTGATTGGTTATTTTCAAACTTCAAGGCATCTTTTATTGGTTGATTTTAAAGTATAGAAAGAACCAAGTGGGAGAAAAGAAACAAGATTCTATACCAGTTACAGTCACGGGACTTCATTACTTTTAACAGTTCTAATTATTTGAATTCAAGTTAGAATCTCTATTAAAATTCTATGCCAGTTTTGCTTCGCATGTCTGCTAATGTAAATCGAACACTCTGTTGCATTCATGAATTCCACATACCTACCTACCTACCTACCTATGTATAGAAACTTCCATTAGATAGTCATAAACGGTCCATGGGTATCCTTTGTACTCTCATCTAATATTAATATTTTTGATTTGTATTAGAAGGTTTTGTTGTGAGAGAATTATAATGTGAATAACAAATTTTCACAGCCGTGATTTTTCTCAGATTTTAGAGTTTTCCTTGTAAATTCTTACGTTCGTATTATTGTTGTCATTGTTCAGTTTTATTTTTATGTTTTTCTTGATATTTTCTCAAAGAAATCAGATTCCCCGCACGGTTTAGTACTGGTTTCGTATGAACGTGCATCTCGCATATCTCTCAAAAATTCACATTGGGAAGAATCAGAAGACTCTTTCAAAAAATACATTACACACGTGGAATCCTAACCCTAATATATGAAGAAGGAGGAGGGTTGTATCAAAGAGAGAGAATAGAGAGAATGAAGACGAGAGAGAGAGAGAGAGAGTTACAAAAGGGGCTTATCACACATGCACCACTATGACCCACTATTGTGCTACTTTTCGCCCATTGGATTGAAAATTGAACATCATATTTTAAGAGAGCAATTCATTCCATGTCAACTCGGAGATCCATCCTGGACCTGAAGTATAGACAACCAATGGGCAAATAATGACACAAAACCCTATGCCAATGGCAGTCACGGACTACAAACCACAGTATATTGTATGCCCAATAGTTCTTCCTGTGATATGAAAATCAGATGTAGATTTGTAAATAATTAATTTTTGTGCAGACCTAATTCCGGGCCAGCCAGCCTTGCTTCACATGTCTGCTGATTTTATTATCAAACACTATATTGCTTTTAGTCCTATAAATACCGATGCAATAAGTGAATCTGTACCACCAAAAACACTGCAGTGTGAAAGTTGTGATCAATGGACTCCAAAGGCTCATCAATTGCTCTTTTCATTTGCATTAGCCTTCTGTTCTTTTCCCTTACAAGTGGCTGTTTTACTTGTAATGAACCAAAGCCAAACCCCACCCCGGTTAAGGGAACTTGCCCTAGAGATGCTCTAAAACTAGGCATTTGTGCCAAGCTACTCAATGGCAGCGTTGGAACAACAATTGGAAGCCCACCGGACCATCCTTGCTGCTCGGCGCTTGGTGGCCTTCTGGATCTTGAAGCTGCGGTTTGCCTTTGTACTGCGTTGAAAGCAAATATTCTTGGCATTAACATTAACATTCCTATTTCTTTGAGTTTGCTTATTAACACTTGTGGGAAAACACTCCCTGAGGATTTCATTTGTGCTTAACAAATAGTTGAAGCACTCATTTAGCACGGTTTTAGGTTTTTTCAGTATCTTCACTGTAGCGTTTTCTTTTAATTAATGAGAGCTCAATAACTTTTAGGTCGAGATCATTCTTTCTCATTGTAATTCTCAAGCTCTCAACATGTATTTCCTCCATGTGATTTTCTGTCTGCTGATTGTTGTTGGCTTTTGATTACATCTAGTTTTTGTTCCAATTTTGCCCTTTATCATCATTGTTAAATATCATCTTAAGCAATGCAAGCAAACAGTGATAATCCTTGGCAGTTGTTTTCGCTTGTTAACCTGTCACCACAAATGTTTGGATTAATCTATTTGTACAATCATAGATGACAATGTGGTTAACAATGTATGAGTTGTGAAAGAGTCGTTGGTTGTAAAAATAAGTTGTTTTTGAAGATATCCAATGACAGTTTGTCACGTGACATGTTGTCAACAAGATTGTCATTCATAATTGTACACCAAGTATGATTGCAAAAGTTTTATTTCTGGACCATGCACGAGAAAAGTTGATACAATCCTGGATATACCTGTATGTACAAACAATAAAGGACCGAACTCGACTGAATGAACCACAATTATAGTACGTGCACACAATGCTAAACTGTAACTTGACTTGATGCAATGAATGTATAGTTCGACCTACTAGATGCACTGTAGTTGTATTAAGCACAAGGAATAATTGGGCCGTAAATCCACTACACAACCTCTGTTTATGTGAAAAGTAACAATAAGCAATTGTGGGAAATAGAAGTGGACTTAGGAGGAGGAAAAACTCAATGAGGAAATGATTTTCTATTCAATTGTGGACTTGTCTTCAACTCAAGATTACATAGATATTTGTAGGACATCCTATCGCATAAGTTAACTTTTTCATAATTGATGTCTTGACTCTACTTGTATTCTTTCACCTCGAGTCTTGCTTTGTATCTTTCCACCTTTCATTTTGAATTTTTATTTGTTTTGTACACCCATTTGACTCCGATGGCAGCATGTCCCTTGGGAAGAGTTGTTAATTCCCAAGTATTGTCCTTCTCAATTGCTCCTATTTCTTCATTCATGGCTTTTCTCCATTTTTCATCCTCAGCAGCTTCATTAAAATCTATGGGCTCAGTATTTGCAAAAAGAAGGTTTACAAAATTTCAACATGAGTAATTGCAATCCAGTTAACACTCCGGTGGAATGTGACATCAAACTTTCTAGATATGATGATGGTGCAAAGGTGGACCCAACCTTGTTTCGAAGTTTAGTTGGAAGCTTGAGATATTTAACTTGTACAAGGCCTCATATATTATTTGGAGTTGAACTAGTTAGTCGTTATATGGAGGCTCCAACAACAGCACATCTAAAAGCTGCAAAGATAATTTTGCGTTACATCAAATGTACTCTTGATTTCGGGTTACATTATTATGCCTTTAACAATTTCAGACTTTGAGGTTTCAGTGATAGCGATTGGGTGGAGATATTGATGATCGAAAGAGTACTAGCGGGTTCGTATTTTACATGGGTAACCCAGCTTTTACTTGGAGCTCGAAGAAGCAACCAATTGTTACCTTGTTGACTTGTGATGTAGAGACGTTGATGTTAGTTCTCGTGTTACTCAAGCAGTTTGGCTGAGATATCTATCGAAAGAGCTTCATTTTGTACAAAGGGAGCCTATTGAAGTAAGTGTGGATAACAAATCAGCCATTGTTCTAGCAAAGAATTCATGAACGTAGCAAGCACATAGACACCATATATCATTTTGTGCGTGAATGCATTGCAAACGAGGTGGTGGAGATTAGTTATGTAAAGTCTCAAGACCAAATTGGAGATATTTTCACCAAGGCTCTCTAGTTCAATACTTTCAAGGCATTAAGAAGCTTAATTAGAGTATGTAAAAGTCATGTTTAGAGGGGGTGTTCGAAGAATAAACATGCATTTCACCAATTTAATTTAGTTTCTTGAATTTATAAGTTTGAGATACATGTATTGATAATTTAATATGTACCCAGTGAAGTGTGGTTCATGTATGCATGTATTGGTAATTAATATAAACATAGTAAAGTGTGGTGCATGTAGTAGAATTAAATTGGTGAAATGCATGTTTATTCTTCGAACAGCACTAGGCAACAAGCAAGATTTCTACTTTTAAACTTTTAAATCACATATCTCAGAAGTATAACTCTTGAATTAGGTGAATAGCAATTGAGTTAAGTACCAATGTTATGAGCATGATCTAACCACCACGTGATAAGATTTAGCCCATGTCTGGCTCTCATTTTTCAAAATTCATTTTTAACCGCACATTTCTTCAACATTTATCAAAATATACTAAAAATTATTATTATTACTTTTTTTTATCAAGACTAAACTGGCGTTTAATTAGCCCCACCCTTGAGTCTACCTCATATTTTATTTGGAACACCTTTAAAAATACATAAAACGAGGTGAACTTCTCAAGAGAACATAAAAGCATGGTGCTACTTGAAGCTCTGGCCTGCCCCATCTGCGCGGTCACATCTCATTATTCTTTGAAGTGTAGAACTAATCTAATCTCTTCAGATGCTTCCTTTATTATTCTAAGATTAGTTTGATTTCTTTGATATGGAAGTAGTATTTTCATGTTTACTAATTTTAAGATGTTTCTTTATTTTGCACCAGATGTAACCTCTTGAGGTAAGATTCTTATGGCTTCTTCCCGGTCACTGATACATCTTAGAGCTCTTCGTATCGGGAGGAACATAGTCGACCTCTAGAATTACTGCACTATCTAAACAAAGTGGTATAAAGAGGCCCAATCTCCGGCTAATGAAATAATAAGAAACTAAGACCAAATCTAAAACTTGTGAGGCCTCTTTCAAGATTAGTCATCATATTTCATGAAAGATATCATATTTTTGGATCCTCTGGCTCAAGTCACTACTCGAGGAAGATTGCCATTAATGATTATCCCATGCTCCACTAATTGGAATGTCCAAATCTGCCTCATCTCCATCTGGACCTGAAGTCCCATCAGCGTAGTCTCTAGCCCCCCCCCGACTGAAATCATATGCTCAAGTTGCTACTCGAGCAGGACAACTCACTGAAAAAGGTGGTTTAAAAGGTTGTACATTGATGTTGAACTTGTATCCTGTTATCTATGTGTATGACCTCCATACTCAATCTTATCGACTTTGATGAAGGGTTGCTTTTTTACAGTGAGCGAGCAAATACTAAAACTCATACAATCCATATCAATTTGATATTTTTCTGCGTATTATATTTTTTTCCTTAAAAGTTGTTCTCTTGAACTAATGAAGATGAGTCTTTCTCGATTGACGAATTTTTGGAACCTCCTAAAACATTGACCACCAGATCATCCACCTCATCTCTAAAATTGTCGTAATTATATTCGATTGCTTCTGAAGTGATAAATCCCTTGTTTGATCGACACTTCATTCCAATCGACAAATATACACCCTTATCTATAATTTGAAATATATCAGTCCCTACATTTCTTAATTGCCAACCCACCACTAATGTTTCCATATTGGTCCCTAGAGTTTCAATATTGGCAGATTGGCCCATGTACTTTCTAGAACTTTCATGTTGGTCCCTAAACTTTTGGAATGTGCCATATTAGTCTTTAAGCTCTTCATTAGTTACAACTTGGCCCTTGCTATTTCTAAATTGTTCCAATATTTATATAAATACAACAAACTATGCCAATTTTACCAAGTCACTTTCTCATACTTCGAATTGTTCTCTACTTATATCAAATACATAGCCTTACTAATCTAAGCATCAAACAATCTTCAGATGTTTCCCTTCCCTCTTTACCAGCTAATCGAGTCTTCATTTTGCATAAAGCCATTCCAAGATTCATGAAAAAATTGAGTCAAATTTAACGAGTAAAACTTGACAGCAACTAATAAATTTTAATATAGATTCTCTGTTTGTTCACGACATGACATTAATTTATTCAACAGTTATTAGGTCTAAATTATCTTCATCAAACTTTATGTTGGATAGACATTTAATTAGGTGGATTGATTGTACACCTCTTTTTATTTTGTCAGCTGATGAATTATTGGAATAAATGAGATCGACCCTCTTTCAAAAGAAAATAAATAAATAGATCAAGCAAACTGATCCATTATTTTCAAATCTTGAAAGTCAAATTTGTTTCAAATAATAGCAATCCCATTATAATAATAGGTAGTCAACTGAAAGTTACTAGTTCGATCCTAAAATCACATAATAGGTGAATAATGAAGGATTAAAATTATCAATTAAAAGCAACGAGTCAATTTTTAATTATTCTAAGTGTTTAGGCAATTAAGTCAATATTATTCTACATTGAATTAAGGCAACAAAGAAATCGACGATGATTTTGTTCGACGGCTGAAATTGATTTTGAATACAAACCTAGCAAATGGGGAAGAAAACACAATAAATGATGTTGGAGTAGGGTGGGGTGGGGTGGGGTGGGGTGGGGTAGAAATCCTGGATTTTTTTTATTAAAAATAAAATATTCGTGGCTTTTTTTTTAAAAAAAAATCGAAAGTTAATATGTGGGTGATGAGGTCTCAAAAATAAACACGTAAAACTTTATTTATCAAATCGAGTTGCGCATATAAAAAAGTGTTCAAGATTATATTTAATAAATAATGTTACCCCCCGAAATCAGAGGCTCCAAGTCAGCACTCCACGTGGACAATCACGTACTCTCTGTAGCCAAGTGGACATAAAGTCAATTGACAAGTCAGCAGGAAGGTCAGCACAGTTAAGATCAACAAAGAATGCAATTGTACGAGATCGTGCGAATGCCGAGGCAGTAGTCATCTAATGTCCGTTCCAGCCAAAAAATGAAGATCTACCTAAGGCCCCTCAAGAGGAAGGCAGAGGTCCCCCTGTCCGAAGTACTAAAGCACCGAACCTTAATCACATCAGATATCCATAAGCCCAAAGCTGACCTCAACGTATGCTAAAGCCGACGTGGCCTCCCAACAGATTCGAAGATC